TATTACAAAGTTGCAAAGATGGCAACTGGACTGGCCTTACACACCAATCTGACAAATTATTATTCATAGCCTACAGAAAGCACTTACCGTATTTTCCACACTAAAAGGCGCACTGGATTATGAGGCGCACCTTCAATGAATGGCCTATTTTGTAATTTTTGGGCACACCACATTATAAGACGCAATCTACAATGCATCCACTAGATGACGCTTCGCTCAAGGAAACGCCAACCGAGCGATCAGATGTCAGTAAAACTTATGGAGCAAAGCAGCGACACAGTTCACTGAACCGACAGCAAGTTATAACATTGACTCGTTAACGTTGAACTCTCTTGCCGCTGCTCTATTTCCGTGTTCAACCGTGTAACCGATCGCCTTAAGTTTGAACTCTGCGTTGTCAGCATGTCTCGAGCAAGGAGCCATTTTGGGGTTGACATATTACCGTAATCGCCATACACAAGGCGTATCAGATTTTAAGGCGCGCTGTGAGCTTTTAAGAAAACTGAAGACTTTTTGGTGCGCCTTATAGTGCGGAAAATACGGTACATAAAACTGATTTCATAAATTTTTTATTTACCTGACATTTTTTTTTGCAAACTGCTGTTGTTTTCGTCATAGGGTCATATACTGTCTGTTGCTTTGACAAGTTTTACCCGGCTACTTTTGGCAAGTATTGCCATAATTTGGGTTGGCTACCCTTATAATGTATCAAAAAGCAACAGTATTTACCATATTGGCCCGAATATAAGACGGTGTTTTTTGCATTGAAATAAGACTGCAAAAGTGGGGGTCGTCTTATATTCGGGGTCTAGACATTATAGCCATTCACGACGCTAGATGGCGCCAGATATCAATGAAGCGAATGCTGAACTTGACTCCCCAGACCAAAGTGAACCCCTGCCACGAAGAATAACAATAAAAATAGCGGTAGCACGAAGAAGAAAAATAAAAAACAGCGGTAAGAAAGAAAAGAGAAGAAAATAATAGAATAGATAACAGAAAATGGAGAAAGTTAGCGACAATCTGGAGAAAAGTGGGTCGAAGATCGGCCAGGTTAACCGGCTGCTGAGGAGAAGTTATGATGTAATTTACATTTCAAAAACCAGAAACCGTTCATTTACGAATGTGATTGCACTTTAGTTTCCATATTTAAATGTTCAGATATTAAGATTTCAATAAGGCAAAATAACAGGCTTTTTGTCTCAAATATATTGTTATAATCATTTTTTTCAGATGTACTGTAATTATTTTCTGTATAAAAATTAATTTGGTGTTCAAAAAGTCTTTTTTCAAACTTGAGTCTTGAAAAAGAGGGGGTCGTCGTATAATCAGGGCCGTCTTACATTCGGGCCAATACGGTAGTTATTCAATCGTTTATTGCCAAGCAAAATGGAAAAATATTTCTCTATCGTTCACTATGGACACAATAGCCCTCCCTCCTGTCTCTTATTTCCATTTTATAGTAATAATAATCATAATAATAATAATAATACATTTTATTTGTGGGCGCCTTTCTAAGCACTCAAGGACACCTTACAACAAGCAGTTAAAAACACAGAAACAATATTAAAAACAACATCAAATAAAATAAGATAAAATAAAACAAAATAGAGATCAATCAAGCCCAGGGGTGGGCAAACGTTTTGACCATTTCTTTCCTTCATGGGTGAGGAGACTGATGGCAACGAGCATCTAAATATTCATTTGAGTGTTTTATTAAACAAAGTCATCAACTTAAATAGGCGTGCCCCTTGTTCAATTGTCAGGACCTGTGAACAGCTTGCAGGTCATTTGTTGTGAAGCAGATTGCATGGCTTGCCAGGTAATGAAGCAGAGCGCTAACCTCCAGCCCATATGGCCTTGTTTGAGTTGCCCATTTCTCAACAGCCCGTCTCTCTGAAACCTTGTCCTGCCCGTGAACCACCTCGACTCAAACATCATCGTACCTTCCTTCTTTCGTAACACACACCCATACACAAGAACACACATGCGCGCACACCATTGTAACTGCACACACCTAATGATATGGCAGTTTGGGCTATTGACAAAGAGAGCATTCTCTATATTATTATAATGAACACTGGGAAACACTACTTTCTAATTTATTCTTTGTAAAGTGCAATATCTGAAAATCGGTACTTAAATGTTAGATGAGGTCTACTTTAGTGACCATGTTCAGTTTTATGAATGCGACAGCGCTTGTACGAAGTTTTCCACACGTAACTTTGCTGCTTTTGCTTACACTTTGCTACTCCTACTTTCTTTCACACGACCTGTCATGATCCTGTTCTTGCGTGTCTCCACCAGATGGCAGTGGAGGGGATTTCCCTCCAGCGTGCACACCTGCTGCCAATTTGATCATCAAGTTAAGCCATGTATTTAAGGAATTCCCATGCGCCAAGTCTCCGTCGGATTATTGACCTAGTTGCTGCCCTTGCTCAAGTGTTGTTTCGTAGAACCTCTCGATCTCATCATTGCCTTTTTTACTCTCTAGTTTTGTCACTGTGGCTAACATTCCGAGAAATGAAGGAAACCCTCAGTCAATTCAAATATCAATGTGTGGTGCCTTCAACATCGCAAATTAGCCTTGACAAATAGAGCCAAACCAAGACAGATAAAAGCAACTTAAATACGTCACATTTGTAAAAAAACGTATGAATTAAAATGTTAAAATATTCAGTTTATCCTTCCTGTCATATCCTTTCACTCACTGTACATGTGGCCTTAATCCTCCAGTGTCACACAGCACTCCGAGTTGACCCACATGTTTTGTTTCCTGATCACAATAAGCTGATATTCGCACATTTTTCTCACCTGGTGATTTGCACAAGCAAGAGCTGCATCATGTGTGGTACATTTCCTTTCATACATCTCCTTTATTGTATATTTATTGTATTAATGAGCAGTTTAGCTGCCTTTCCTGTTGACAAACACATCGAAGGCTCCAGATGTTTACTGACAGATGTCACTCGCATGCAACCATTAACTCACTGCAATGCAAATAAGCTTTGCTGTGGTTTACAGTGGGCCTGCAAAGTGAGGTTGCTTAAATCTTAATGCCTATTCGCTGCAATAAATAAACCTACGAGATTTCATGCATGGTATGCCCCAGGGGCCCGCAACCAAAGAAAGTGTTATCGAAACACTGTAAACAAATAATTCTCGAAAATTCCACTGATGTAAAAACACAGGAAAGGCAGAATGAGCAAAAAATAAACTCTCCTCTTCCACAGAGAAGCCAGAGTCATAGTTTTGAATGAGCACATTGTCAGGTTTCCGTAAAGAATTGGACTCCAGAACTTGGAAAGAATTTATCAAAAAAAACGACTGACAAAGTTCAACAAAGAACGCTGGTACAATGCCAGGAAAAGAAGACAACCAAAAACGCTTGCAAAAAAGGCAAGCATAAAAACATACGGAAATTGCTTGTCAATAAATAGACAAAACGAAATCAACAAACGCATACAATACAAAAACTGTGACTCTAACTTCAACGAAAAACTACTTACAAAGGCAAGTGCAGAAAACCTGGGGGGAACAAAAATGGAGAGCAAGAACATGTAGCATCTAGACCAAAGGTGGGCAAACTACGGCCCGTGGGCCGGATCTGGCCCGTTGGTCTTTTTAATCCGGCCCGCCGAAGGTTGGTACACAATTAAGGTTCGATGTGAATGATTGCATTTATTTCATTTGGACTTATAATGACAGGCATTTCAACGCCAGGTGGCGCAGTTACTTGAAGTTGCAGAGCACAGGGAGGGAGGGGGAGAAATCTGATCTACCACCTGCAGACCTCTCTCGAACGGAAATTCCCGGAACCCGGTAAAAAAAAAAAAAAACACGTAGGCATTAAACTTTCTACTACTATATTACATTAACGATCGATTCATAACAACGGAAGTTCCGGAAGCCATACGGAAGCCCGCAGTAGCGCCAACTCCAGCAGCTCCCGCTCGATACGACGGAATAAGTGTGTCCGTGCCGCCGCTATTTTCTATCATTGGATCCAAAACGGTGACATGCAAGTGATTCTTGACTGCAGTGAGTTTGACTGGAATTGCGAAAGTTTTGAATTTCATTCATTTACATTTACGTCCTGTTGATCATGGCATCCAAATGAAGAGGAACCGTATTGATCGGTGAAGAGAAAGTGATATGTATCTGATTAAACGAAGTGGGTTACAAAGTACGAAACAATCAGGAGACGCTTGGAGCCGGAAAGACTCAAATCTATGAGACTTTGAAAATAATAGGAAAAAAATTAATGGAAAAAAAGTATTTGGCAAGTTGTTGTACATTATAGATTTTACTGGTGCAATTTCTAGCATGTGATTGATTTATTAGGTCTTTTATTTGTCAATAATTACCATGAACCATAACGTAGTGCTTCGATGCAGGTATGCAACTACTGTCCTGTGCTGCTTTGCTGAAATAATCGCTCAAAGAATCCTCAATGGAAAATGATATTTCATCATGCACCAAGATGCATAAGTGGGTCAAAAATGACTCGAAAAGTCATTTTCTTGCGATATGTTTGGAATTAAAAATGTACATATTTTGACTTCAGGTATTCATCAAATTAAAAAAACAAAACAAAACATGTTTTTGAAATTCTTCCATTTAAATTTTACCTTTATGGAATTTTAGGTTTTGGATTACTACCCCAAATTCAGTGGGTCATGAATTGTACGATGAAGGCCACCAAATCCAGAAAGGTTTGCTGCACATTTTGGATTCAGTCACGACCAGACCAAGAAAAGGAACATTGATGAACGACAATAAATTTCTTGCAGTTTGCATACCATCGAGTTCGAATGGTTCAAGGACCAGAACAGAAGCACTGCTGAACAAGTCAAGTACCTATACAGTATTATTTATTTTTTAAATAATGTGGCTGTACACTGAGACATATGATTTCCATTCAGTGAAACCCCAACGTACCGAACAAAACAATAACCATTAAACAGCTGTAATACCCTACCTGAAGTAAATGTGTAGTACCAGTATGTTCAAAAAGTAAAACATAATTTTTTTTTTTTTTTTTTAACACATTCAACTTCTGAACTTTGAACACTGACTTTCCACACTTGCTCATCTTCCAATTGGACCTCTAATTCAACATACCTGAACGTTCTTTCTTCCATTCTCATAAGCGACACATATTGTAAGACACATAAACACGAAGACTAAGCGAACAAGACTGATGAATTTGTGTTCAAAGAACACGGACAAAGACAATGCAGACACAATCCAATTTTACAGCAACACATAACCATGAGTTGGGACAACAACATGCAGACATTTGCGTTAGGTGCTTTCAATGCAAACACGACTGACCAAAACAAGGTTCATCTGATGGCTGGCAACAGATTTAATGTATATATGTCGACAGTATAAGCACCATAGTCTTGTGTTTTAAGTATAAACATGCATTAAAAGATGTAATCATGAACACACGAACCAAGTGGCAGCGTACAGATCCTTAGTCTTCTTGAAATATAGTTTTAGGAAGCAATTAGGGACATGAGGGGACTTCATCTACTCTCTATTTATCTCTTTCATCCTGGAGGAGCCCGGTCAGATGCTATTTTGCATATTTCAGGGCCATCTGAAATAGATAATGGAATCATGAAAATGACATATTCAGTATAACAAGTATTCAAATCATTGTTAGCATTGTTGAGTGATTGCTCGGAGAGTCGAGCATTAGACATAGCGTCGAGCGAGCATCGAGCATTGACATTTCCAGTGTAACTTTGCTCTTATCTTGATTTTTTTTTTTTTTTTTTTTTTTAGTATTTTTGAATTTTGGAATGAAATGGTTGTTTAATTACCTTGTGAGCAATGTCTGCAAGCTGCTGGGCTGTGTGCACCAGCCCGACTGTCTTGTCTTCAGCCGCAGACAGTTTGTGCCCACGCTCTCCCAGAGCCACTTTCATCTGATGGACTATGTTGAAAACAATGAAAAGCTTTAATTATTATCAATGGAATGACGGAATGAAAGAAAAGAAGAGAATCCAATACCAATAATTACTCCAAATTTGCAGGTAGTGATCATATTTGAACGTTTTGAGAGTCGCTGAAAAGTGCAGTGTAATGTATAATACATTTCTGGGTTCAACTTTTTAATTTCAAAATACAGTATTGCAATGAGTGCGCAGCAGAGCCGTTGTTAAAAGCATCGATTTCGTACACCTAAAGTAGAATTGAAATGTTTTTATTTTTACTATTAACACATATTAAAACATTTTGAGGTACTGCACTACATATACGCAGCATGTCTTTGCTTTTCTTACTTATACACTTACCGTCAATGCTTATGTTTTTCTGACCAAGTTTAACAACCCGTTTCAAAACATTTCTTATACTGTACTGTGAGGATTGCGTAGTTTGCCTTTGCTCCATTGGCGTGCCTCGTGCTGGTGGTTGACCGCCACCTGGTGGCGTAAAATGTAACTACAAGATTGGTTTCGGCCAACAAGATGGATACAATTTCTAACGGGGGAGGGCAAGTGCGGCGCCATGATTTGTTTTTCTCCCCTGGGGTTTAGGGGGGCTCAGGAAAATAATAGTCTCCTCCTCTGCTTGGAGAGGGTCCTTGTTGACAATGTAAGGATTCTTAACCGACTAACTAGGACACGATATCTGAGGTGGGCTATTTTGCCGGAGGCGTCGCTTTGGAGGATTCCGCATCGAACAACGGGGGCGGACATCGAGGAGTGGGGTCCACGAATTTCGACGGTGTCTTCCTCCGGCGCTTCGTGTTACTTAAATGGATTCTCACGTTGTTAATCGTTATCAGTGAATAGCAGCAAATTATACAAATTAGATTTGACAATATCAATGACTGTGGGATGATTCTGTTTTTGTGTGTCTCCAGCAGGTGGCAGAGGAGGGCCGCCCCTCCGGCCTGAACACCCGCTGCCAATCATAATCAGTCAAATATTTATTTAAGGATTTCAAGTTGCCATGTCTGTCAGATTATTCCTCACCTTGTTCATGATGTTGTCGACAACTGTTGAATTCTATAGCTAGTATTTTCCAAGCCCTATTTTTGCATTCGTCATAGTGTTCTCGCTGTTAAGCTTAGTTGCGGTTTTGTATCGTTTGCGTTTTAGACCGCCTTCTTGTCTTTTCACGACAATAATAAACTCTTTTTGTTCAAGTCCATCTGAGTCCACGTTTTGAAAGCCAGATTCTGTTCCGGACCCTTAACACACTGAAAATTAATCAAGCCAACTGCAACTATATATTTATTCAAAATTGGCTTCTGCACAAAGTTCCACCAAAAGCAAACCAAGAAAATAAGAAACCAAAATGCAGCAGCTGTACCTGCAGGTAAATTTCAAGGATCAAAGTGTACTCGTGGGTAATTTAACTTTTCAACCAAAGTGACACAGCAGTAACTCTGGAGTTGACTGAGGAAATTAGAGGGTGGGCGTTCGGTTCCGACTAACAGTGACCGTTTGAGGTAATGAAGCACAAAGTACAAATGAAGTGGGACTTGTTGCTGTATTACCGCCTGGCACGTCTCCCATTAATTACAGTGCCTCTGTCAGTGGGTTCAGTGGTGCACCGTGCTCCCTCCCATCAGCACCAGCCATTGTTTTGCATTGTATTGTTGCTCGGCACTCATGTGACCCCCCCCACCATAGAACAAAGAGATGCCTTTCAGCTGGAGAGGGGCACAGAATAAACAATGGACAACACACACACAAAAAAAAAAGAACCCCAAAAACATCCAAAAAGACAAATTCTGGATAACATGACAGAAAGAGTTGACATTAACTTGTTGTTCCTCTTTGCAGTAAAAATTTACTACCTCTATTCTCCGGGCTCCTTTGGTTTGCAACCATCTTCTTCTTCATATGATAAAAGAATGCTTTGCAGCGGTAGAGGAACAGATTCATTGAGGAAGAATCTGTCACAAAAAAAAAAAAATTAACAACATACTTTAAACTCCAAATATCAACTGAAGGTGAAAATAGAATTCAGTATCGCATGCGGCATTTGGCCACCATTAGATTTGGTTTGTATTGGCCATTTTGTAATGACCACAGAATGAACTGAGGTCAAATAACACTTAACCTTCGCGTAAGCTAAAATTATTGAAGACAACAATTACAAAGAATACATTTGATGCCTTTGCTAATGCAATCATCTCTTTGCTAGCAGTCAAATATTGTTAGCGTAATTAAATGCCCATGTCATTGTTTTGGGTGAAATTTTAATGTCTGTGTAACTCTTTTTGCTTCTGTTCTCAGACTATCAAGAACGTGTGTTGGTCCAAAATCATTTATAAGTCATCAATTTGAATTGGCCGTTTTTTCCACCACACACTAAGATGGCCGATGGCATGAGAAAAGGCGCTCTGCTTACCACAAGTGATATTTTAGCTCTTCTAAATTGATTCATAGCATAAAAATGCAAGCTAGCTTCAAACTTTCGATACAGTAAATGTGCCTTCAGTCAGTCAAACGGAATAGGAACGACGTGGTTAAACTTTTAATAGAATCACCGCGACATAAGAAATTGTAAAAGTGTTAGCAAGAATATTTTTCTCATTTGTAGTCAAACGAACGTTTCTTTACATTTTCAGTAAGCCACATCACCTGGAAAAGGAAAAGTAAACTCGTTCATTTGTTTGTAGAAAAATTTTAAATGAATATGTGCGCTTTATTATAAGTGTGAAGTCCTTTGTTTCGACTAGGGCTACGAGAGGTATTCTTGCTAACATTTTGAGGTCCTGCAGTGAACCTGTTCATTTAAGTGGACAGCCCATCATGTTGTCAGGTTACAGGGTACATGAAAGAGTTAAACGCAAGAACCTGATCATTTTTCTGTATTGGTTGAGTGGCCAATAAATACAAAAATGGATAGTGACGGCCTAAAAGATATGCACAATGCTATGGAATGTGATAATACTATGACAAAGTACCTCCTGTAAGTTTGGATGAGCAGTTGATGAACTCCGGTGGTCTGGGTGCAACATAGCTTTTCCGTCGTGCTTTTACTGTTCCGGATGAAGGCCCCGGTGGGGAATCCATCGGACCAGCCCCCCCATCCTGGTGGGAAACCCGCCGACCCGCCTTGACAAGACTTCCCGCCTTTCCCGCCCAGTAGGTCTGGCAGGCACGATATAGAATCTGGACAAGGATGCACTTTTCTGCCGCTGAGCTGGCCACCCACTGATCCACAGCATTGACAAACACCAAGTCAAATTCGGGGCTGTCCTAGTGGGGAGTGGATAACCTGTTAGCAAGCAAGTACTCTTGATGCGCTTCGAAGGCATATTTTGATTGATTCTTCACATGAGATGGTGACCTTGTTGGGGTTAATGCCATTGACCTGTCGTAGCTGCTCCACCGCCCACTGTGATGTCCTTGTGAAGGCCAAGGAACCGCTAAACTGCTTCACCTTTGAAATGAGGAGCTGGTGCGGCCTTGTGTTGGTCACTACACAGAGAGCATAAACTATCGTTAACTGCTGACAACTAAATTCCGATGAATTATGGTTGTGGAAAAATGTAAACTGACGGAAAACAAACATATGGACACGGCGAAACGAAAATAGATGAGTGGAGTTAATCAGCTGCAACATTTACGCACGGCAAGCACAATTGGGATAACGTTTGAATGTGAAATATAAACAGAATGCTTCGATTTGCAAATTTCACAATATAAAAAAAATCACATTCAAAGTTTAACTGTGCACTTTTTCTCCTCAAAAGATAGGCTGGGAAAAAAATTGTTTCTATTTTGCATACACACACACACACAAACAAAGTCAAAAAGTGATATTTGCACCTGAAACACAAATGAATGTTGCATAGTCTCCTTTGGATCCAGGGGAAAGGAAAGACATTCTCTTCTTTTTTCTCCTCTGTACCTCCACTGCCACCAGCATCCGCTCATTACGAGGGATGAAGACTTCTTTGTTGATTGTAGACTGAATATTCATTGTTGATGTTAGACCTAAACCTGTGATGAAACGACACAGGATACACGCCTTGGTGAGAACGAGTAACGATAATAACCAAAAAGTAAATTGCCGTGACGATATGAGGGTCTCTCTTTCCTCACTGCAGTGCATTTGCTTTTTTTTTTAAATTCAAACATGTCATGATTGTTCTGTTTGTGACCAACAGGTGGCATCGGAGGGCTTCTCCTTCTTCTCACGTTTAAATGGCTGAAGCAAAGTGTTTTGGTTTAGCTTTTTTTAATGCTAATTATAAAAGACGGACCGAGATGACAGCGTGACTCGAACCCCACGTACACTTCATTTTTTAATTTTTACTCTCTTTACACTTTCGTACAGCCAGTCCGGAGTTGTAAATGAAACGTTTTGTTTCACGTGATTATTGAGGAATCGAACAGGTATGCAGTTGAATACTGTAATTTCAATGCATCTTGTGACGAATCTGTAGACAGGAAACATAAAATTACTGGACTGATATTTCCTTAACGGCCACAGGTTGAAGCCTGAGCCAGTTCATCTGGAGGCCAGTTGAACCCTAACATCGGGCCGGTGGCTTTTTTACACCCAGAAATTGATTATTCGTCTATACAGTATGTGGAAGATTTTGTTGCAAGTCAGTGAGCTTTCAGCCCAATGTTGAACAGAGAGTGCCATCGAGAGGAGTAAAAATAAATGAAATAAAATGGTTCATGAAGCAAATTTGAAGCTCCATTTCCCCATCACCACCAAATAAAACCGGGGAAACTCAAACTTTTTCTTTATTTGTTTTTTAAGTTAAGCACTTGATTTGCACATGTGCACATTTCACTTTTTATCGACTCGCTTTTATTTTGAAATGCTGACCTATTTTTATTTATTAAATGAGACAACATTACAAAGTCGTGCTCACACTATACGGTATGTTTGAATACCCTGGCAGAAATTGTAAGATGTGCCCCATTATACAATACAATACAATACAATACATGCTGATTTATATAGCGCTTTCACAACAGCGGCAGCTGTAACAAAGCGCTGAACAAAACAGTTAACAAAAAGTAAAATAATAAACACAACACATAACATAAAACACGGACAGTCGTGCATAAATAAAGATATATTGTATTGTATCGGGACGGCACGGTGTCGACTGGTTAGCATGCCCATCTCACAGTGCAGAGGTGCAGGGTTTGATTGCAGGCCTTCCTGTGTGGAGTTTGCATGTTCTCCCCGCGCCTTCGTGGTTTTTTTCCAGGTACTCTGGTTTCCTCCCACATTCCAAAAACATGCATGGCAGGCAGATTGAACACTCTAAAATTGTCCCTAGGTGTGAGTGTGATCGCGGATGGTTGTTCGTCTATGTGTGCCCTGCGATTGCCTGGCAAACAGTTCAGGGTGTACCCCATCTACTGCCCAAAGATGGCTGGTAACGGCTCTAGCATGCCCTTGTGAGGATAAGCAGCTCAGAAAATGGATGGATGGATTTATTCTGTATTTTTTAAAGACACATGAAGGATCAGACAAAGCATGTTAAACAGCATATAGCAATAAAGAAAATAATGAGTTGGTCCTTATTCATTCATTGATATTTTCTCCATCCAAAATTTTGCCAGGGTACATAAATGTCAAATAAATCGTTGGGCATTATGATCTTTCGGGCCTTTGGTGCAAGCAAGGCGAGTCAATTTATAGGTTTTGATGCTTGTAATGGCACAACAGAATTTTGGGGTTCATAATTTTAATCATGAAAAAAAAAATGTGCTCCACTCATCCAGCTTTCCCCGCTCAAAAATGAAAAACGCAAAAACAATCAGTAACATCAAGCTGTTTCACTTACCTCCCCCGGTTCTTTCTCTCGAAGATCAAAAGTGCACCAAGTTCTTCCTGTTAGTTGAAAGTGACGTTAGTTTCCTGTTAGATTAACTACTAGGTAATTTAGCCGTCATGAATTTATACCCTGGCGGCACACCGAGTGGTGTGCCTTGCAGTGAAGGCACACACAAATCACAGTCTGTCCCATTAGGGGAGGATGACACTGAAAGGCAGAAACAGACGTTCTCTGTTTGAGACACAGAGAACCATGGGTCACTGCACTTTATGGCTGCTTAAGATCCAAACAACACATCGGTACTTAAATCACTGAATCATAAATCATGACAGGTGGAATTCTTCCTGAAAAAAAACATCTTCTCTTCAACCCTTGGGAATCTTTAATCACGTAACACGATGTAAATCTCTGGCTGGATTTTTTCGTATTTTTTTTGTGGGCTCTTAAAATCCGATGTTGATTAAGTGTCTCAAATATGTTTTTCAATGATGCTATTATTCCGTATGGAGGTGTTTTATGTTCCTGGTGAAGCGAATCGTCCATTCCACTTAAAGTTGCGTCATAAATTTCAAATGCCATTCCCTAAAATATTATAAACGCCTCTCAGGATCACACGGTGCAGTCCGACACAATTGCTAGGACAGAAGGACATAATTACAGTGAGGTACAATTAACCCTTTCAGGGACGGCGGTTACTCCAGTGGACACCTTATCATGTTATCAGGTTACAGGGCGGCATGAATGAATTAAATGAATAAACAGAGACCAAAATGCGGATCCTCAGAATTTTTAATGAAAATCAAATTGATAACAGGATCAATTTCAGTCAGTTCAAGATGATGTTGAAAATAAGGGAGCATAACATAATTGTTTGAAATGAAAAACAATGTACTGTACAAAGGGGTCTTTGGTTCAGGACGGTTTCAACATACATTTCAAGTTTACAACAATGAATTAGCCCGCACGCTGCGCAAGAAATGTACCGATCGCCGTACTTATTTGATTTATTTATGCCGTAGAAGTGTTTCTTATTCCAATTTTAAATCTGACGTTAACACTGCATTAGCATCGGTTCGGTACCAATCCGCCGCAGCTACGAGAACGGGACTGTCATCAACCAAGGACACTCCTGCCTCTGAACTTCCATCCACTTTACAAAATATAAACGATACACTGCTATCTGTAAAAGTAGAACCGCTTATCAGTACAAGCTGAGTGGCTTCCGAACAAATGCATGACACTTTTTTTTTTTTCTCCCAAGGTTGATCTAGGGAAAGAGCAAACAAGGCAACAAAAGATCAGACCTTACCCTGCTTCATCTGCCAGTCTTTTTATGTTGATGATCCATTTACCTCGTATTTGACCACATGGAAAAAAAAAAACCATCCTCGAATAAATTTTCTAGCGTCGTGCTCTGTGCTTATACAGTCACACCTCAGTTTTCGACCATAATCCGTTCCAGAAGGCTGTTCGAAAACCGATTTGTTCGAAAACCGAAACCACGGTCTTTAAAAAAAAATCTTTATTGAACACGTCTGTTCACCATGGAACGCTAAACGAGGAAGCGTGTAAGGAAGGCGAGAGGAGTCAAGTGGCGCATTCAAGTGCGCTCAGTTTGGTCGACAACCGTTTTTCGGGGTAATCGAGGCATAAAAATATCGAAATTTTTGGTCGAAAACTGATTTGGTGTAGAACAGAGACGTTCGAAAACCGAGGTTTGACTGTATGTGTAATTCACAGATGTTGCTGGAATCAACATAGTGTTGGCAACTCACATTTGGCCGCTTTACATTTAAAAATGAGATAAAAATGACCCTCACAATCAGTGATCATACGATGCTATCATTGTGCTTAAAAAAGTAAGCACGAGAAAGGCATGCTTGGATGATTTTTGAAGTGGAAGTGTGTGACTTGGCAAATCAGGGTGCCAACCGCCCATCAAACACATTTGGAGATGAACTGGAACATAGATGGTGAGGCAGGGGCCTCACCACTTCAGATCCACAATAACAGTCAACATGATTCCACGAAGTTAATTTCTATGTTCTCGATCTTATTTTTCCACGTTTTGTATTAGTGACTCAGAATGTGAAGAACATTTCTACCTTCGTTCAGGTGAGCTCTAACCGCTCAGTCACTATCATGCACAATCATGTCAATACAAAACTGTCTTTTTGCAATCAGGGGTAATAAAGGGATTACAGAAACCAAAAAAAAAGGCTTTTGTGACTTGGCAGTCTCACAGCTGGAGATAAATAGAAAAGTATTTCAATACGGTTTATGGCTGAGTTATTTTACTGCTGAAACAGTTGTCTTTTGGTGTCCATTTTGTCTCCATTCAGCCTCTTCGGACACAACCATACACAAACGCATTGACACGGGCACACAGAGGTAGAACACGACACGGGGGAAAGGTTCCTTTCTATTGATACATACTAGCGAATAGTTGTGGTCACCAAAATATCGTCCATCTGTCTTATCAGATCCAACATGACGTGTTTTTTTTTTTTTGCGTAACCACGAACTATCTTCAAGTGCAAGCACACCCAGCAAATGCGTCACAGCCATACAGGAAGTCAATTTCTCACTCCAACTGAATTCACAGAAATCCCGAAAAGGGAGGGGGAAAAAAAATAAAAACGTAAATGTGCTTTTTCTTAAAATCAACTGCAGTGATCCCTCGCTATATGGCGCTTCATTTGCCGCTGCTTCAGTACATCTTTTTTTTTTTTCAAAGTACTGTATTCCGAAAAAAAATGCCAAATGATTCGAGGTTTTGTACATGCCTGTATGCATGATTGGTTCCCGGCACGATGTCGACCAATGACAGCACGAGTGAAGTTATCCCGTGAGCTGATTGGTTGCGCGTTTTCTCGGCCCCGCCCAGCACCTTCCTTTGTGTCTCGTCACGCTGTTGACTCACTCATCGTTCGCGTGCCTCTTTCTGGCATATTCTCTTCTGTTGTGTTCGCTACGTCTGCGGGGTGGGTGAATGGGCTTGTCCGAAAAAAAGCAGCATATTTCTCTTCCCCTCCTCCTCATCAATATCGATTGTCTTATCATAAAACACATAAACACATTGGCTGGGCGGAGATAGCTGGCCAGGAGCTAGCTGGAGGCTAACGGCGGCTATTCCGTCAGAGCGTAAAGTGAGAGCGGCCTTCTACGCCACCAACACAAGTCTCTGAGCCTCTCTCAGAAGCCAATGCTGATGACTGTATAAGGTTTTATTGTGAAATATTTCAGTAAATACGGGTATTTCTGTAGTCTTTCTCTGAAATATGTAAAGTCTAATCACTGTTTACATATTTTAAACATGCTGGTGCCCACATACACTGACACAAAACTTTCTGGGGGGGGGGGGGGGGGAGGAGAATACACAAAAAAAAGCAAACCCTCCTTCGCTGTTTTTCACTTCTGGTCCCTATTAACCCCGATAAGTGAGGGAACACTATATATCACAGGTGTCAAAGTCAAGGCCCAGGGGCCAGATCTGGCCCACCACACCATTTTATGTGGCCCGCGAAAGCAAATCAGTCATGTCAAGTTCCATAATGCTTGCTGAAGTCTGAAACAAAATTTCAAATTGTCAAATGTAATCCACAATAACAGTCATTATTCTTGACTTCTGATTGTAAACTAGTTATTCCCAAAATAAGCCCTGCGAGGGAAACCGTAACTACAATGCGGCCCACGACAAAAACGAGTTTGACACCCCTGCTGTATATGATCACCACCAGACAAGCTGATTCTGTCAAGCTCCGCGTCTGTCTCTCCGTGGTATGTTATGTTGGGAACCGATGACAGTATCAAAGCTGAGCGTTGTAGCGCTCAATGGTTAGGGTAAGAGCAATTGTGGGGCAACAGGATCATCGTGGCCTCAGTCATAGCGGGAAACCGTTCTGTAGGTACACACCACATTGGGAACGTTCAACAAACAAAAACAGCACAAACGTTTTGGTAAAAGGAGCAATGGTTGCCGCAAAAGATCGTGAGGAGGAACTTATGGAAAGTGGTGAGAGGACGAGGCTTTGGGGACAATACGTCCCTTCTGTTAAAGGTCACATTAAGGTTCGAGCGTGTAAACTGGGAAAAATCGAGATTGTGTGGGTGTGTGTGTGTGCGTGCCTGCGTGAGTGCCTGCGTCTGCTTATACGAGTTTCACTGTCAATTCAGTTTCAATTCATTTGGTAACAGTCATTTTCATGCTTAATTTAAATAAATAAATAATTATAAACATTTACGTTTCTATCTTCGAAGCCATGATGTACAAAGAAAATGGAAGAAAGTCAATACGGCTTGACTGAATACTGATGTTAAGGGTGAAAATGTTCGCATTTTAGACATCGTACCGGTGTATAAAATCGTACCAGTATTTTTTTTTTTTAGATAATTTTGTAATAAAACAGCAAATGAGAATGGGAGCGCTTCTTTTCTTTTTTTCAAATGTGTGAATGGAAAATGAATTGACTGGCCGTGCCTTATGTGTGAAATGATTGGGGTTTTTTTTTTGGGTTTTTTTTTTTTTTTTTTTTTTAGGAGGCATCTGTGTTGTCCTCAGCAGTCTCAGGAGGGTCTTGGGGTCGATACATGAACGTCAGGAGGAAAAGCGCCACATCACAAGAGCACCAATAAGCTGTATGCGAGGTCACCGCTGACCAATAGCGGCTCTCCACCAAGCCCTCCCGCAGCTCAAAGTCGATGCGTCTTTCCAGTTCCACTGAAACACAGAGAAACACAGCAAGCAGTAGTTTATTGTTGTTGTCCATTGAATGAGAAGAAAAAATATTCAATGTTATACCTATCAAATACATAGCAAAAAACTGAATGTGTAAAATATGTACTAAACAAAGAATTTTTTTGTTTGTTTGCTGAACAGTGACGGTTTTGGAGATGTCAAGGTGTCTTACAGTGATACCTTGAGATAAGAGTTACTCGACGTATGAGTTTTTTTTCGAAACAAGCCATCACCCTGCCAATATTTTGTTTTGACTTGCAAATGCAAACTTGAGATACAAGCTCTGTATCGCAGTGGTTTATTTTAAAATTTTAGGCCGGCCCACTCCGTCAGTCGGCAGTCAGTGAAGTGATGTGAACTTTTTACGGTGTGTCGGCGACAGCCAATCAGCATACATCACACGCAAGAACAGCACAGGTAGACAAATAGCAAAATAAAGTTAGGAAAAAAAAGACACACAC